TGCATGGACATTTTTACAAATTAACCCTCGCTATGCAAACAAAAGGTCGCTAGCTATTCATTTCTCAGGGTTCTGCCTTCCGTATTGCGTCTTCGATTCAGTGGCATCTATAGGCTCATCTGATGTGGTTAAGGTTTGAGTCCCATCGTTTACCGTGATTGCCTGCATAATCTTCGTATGTAGGTTTCCTGGGTAAGTCTTTATATCTCATAGAGCAACTGATTAGATCTAATAACCTGTCTGCCAACGGCATTTTTATGTTTCGCCTCAGACCGTATAGCTTCTGCTACACCGTGTCACGTGACGTTAAGGCCTGTCTTGCAGGTTCCTAATAACTCCGATCTTGCATTATTTACTTTCCCCAAGTAGTCGTTGCATTATGGCATTGTCGATAAACTTGTTGCATAGCACATGCTTTCTGGAATTGAGCTATTGTCATCCAGACCGTGTTTAAGACTGTCCTCTCTCAGCATGCAGTCATTCCTTCCAAAATGGCCTGTTCGAAGGTGGCCATGAGGTTCAGTCCCCCAAGAGCGCACATGCCAGGTAAGTTTTCAGGCCAAATGGTGTGTAAATTTGTGCTCTTGAAGGTGATTAGATAGAAGTTTTCTTAGACTGTATTAAAGTGGGTTGGTTCCCATAGCCTGTGTAACGGGGACGTTTGTGGGAACGAGAAGCGGTGCCAAAAGCCCTACTCACAGCCCTGTGGGTGAGGTTTCGACCTAACTGCGAAATAACATGGAGAGGCTGTGGTTGAAAAGTGCCCAACTACCTAAGCTCTCTTTGAGCTCGAAAGGGAGCCAGGGCCGATAAAAAGGTCATTTGGTATAGCTCTAGGGTTAGTGCGACACGTGACATTTGCTAGAATATTGCATAACCCAGGCCATTCTTCAACACCCATGTTCTACAGTCCCTTTGCAGCGTGGTCCAGTTTGTTCACAGTAAGAACACTACAAATTCAATTCTTCCCTTTTGATGGGTACGCCACTCCTACTCACTATAACGTCATGGTACTCCTCCGCGGTATCAACTATCCGAACTCAAAACTCGTTAAGCGTTTACGTGTTTACGAGCTCTTCTCTCATGAGACGCAATTCTGTGCGGATTCGAACCTCACTCAACGCAGTCACTGTTACACGGGGAAGCATAAGCAACAACCCCTTTGTTAGCAATGTGACCATCTAAATGGCAATATTGCAGTTTTGCTGTATCATGAAGGGCTGGCATTGTATTTGAAGAGGAAACTGGCAGTTGCTAGTCTACAAGTCTGTGCGCTAAAGCCTATATCAGCGCCAAACTGTGACAAAACATAGAAGTCTTTGCATCTGTGAGGACCACGTCCCATCAAATGCTGAATTCGTGGATGTTTTAAATGATTTTGTAAAGCATGGGAAAAATACTTCGTCCATAATAGGTGGCTACACGGACGTGGTGATCGAAGCGGGTAACTGGTCTTTGTCTAATTTATTAAGTCCCTCATCCCTTCTTGCCTTAAGAGTTCCTCTGTAGGCGTTCACAGGAAAAAGTCGGTGAAGGTGCATATTGACTACGTGCAATCAAACCCTCAGGGAAGTGCATTTACTGGCCATGTATGCGTTGCAATTCTGGTAGGTGAAAGTAACGTCACTGGAGCTCTTACGCATCGTAATCCTGGGTTGATGGTTTGCTATCACAATGCGACAGACTCCATATTAACCCGGCGCTACGATGCAGCACTGTGATTTAATGCCTTTTCCAATTGTTAATTTACTAATTTAAAGGCATGTAAATTGGTAGTTGATGCTGTGTCCTGGCAATATTTCTAGAAATATAGAAGCTGGTCTATACGTTGTAGAAAACTGAGGAAATATGCGTGCTCTCCTTGTAAAATGGAAATTAATAATTAAAACCATGTGAGCTGTCGACTGCACGTCACTCGTTTGTTTTCAGTTGCTTCTTTGTGTCCATCGCTTCTTAATGCCAAAAGTTCATTTACAAAACTGATGAGAGGTGGTAGACTATGATATTTCAAATTTATAGAGTCTAGCTTAGAGAAGAAGGAGAGGTTTACAAGGCCAAAGCCAGTTTTCTGATTAAAGCAGGTCTACGTTTTTGGATCATACCCAAAAAAAAAACTTTTATTTTTTACTGATGTTTGACTACTTTTCATCTGATTGCCCTAACCCTGCCTTAGCAAACTGTGCAAGATCGTTTTTGCAGTCGTAAGACTTAATTGCTTAGTAGTTGCAGTTGTTAAGCCTTAATCAATTACAAATTTTAAGGCGATTTTCTTATCTGCGCCTCATTTCATGTGCTCCATGACGGCAAGTTAGTGATTTCTGTTGTCCTTTTTAGAGGTGAACAAAAACCTATCTCTTTGCATATGCGAGGCACAAGTAATGCAGTTAATGCAATGACTAAGTAAATTACCTTCGTTTCCATTATGAGTGTTGGCATATCACTTCATCTGGAGTTTTAGAGCTTTATGATGGGGAAAACAGGAAAGGAAACTGGGCTGTACTCCTACTGTTTTGGCATGTTCTACATCAGGTCTTTCGCAATCTATAACAAAAGGTTGGCTTGTCTTTTACAGTGCAGAAAAAGTGCTCTACATTTAGGCAAAAGCACTATGTCATTCAGATGCTACCTTTTATGCTCAACCTTTCAGAGATAAAGTACCTCCATGTAAGCCACAAGCTACCATATCTTTATACCCCAGATTTGATTAGCACTATGATTCTCCTTTGAAGGTAAGATATTTTCTAAGGGAAAATAGGAGACCATTCACAAAACTTTGCAAAATTATTTTGATATTTACATTGCACCCAAATGGCCCTAGCCTATTAAATTAGCTTATATATTATTAATTCAGCCAAATATATTTGTTATTGATGGAAAATGAAAGTGCCTATCCAAAACATGTTCGGGATTCCTGAGTTCCTTCGTGAAAAATTTGCAGTTTGATTTATATTCCTAAAATTTTTGACATTTCTTGAGCAATCGACAAACTTTTGCTCCGAGATATTTCTACTTTAACAAAATAAAACAGTTCACGCCCAGGTACGTTCGAAAATGCCTAAGACTATTTTGAAGATTTTTAATTAATAGAAACTTGTAATTTTCATAGAGTCGAATGGCTAAAAATACCACAGTTTGGTTTTTGCTACAAATTAACTAATCACGCGCAATACGCATTTTTAAATATTATACTTTAAGTGATACAAGGACAGATCTGACCATCCATTTGACTGGGTAGGTGTCATCAATGACTGATCAAGAGACGGAGGAGGGTATAACAAAAAATCTTCCTTACAGTTTTGATATTTGAAAAGTTTCATATTGCGACCTCAGGAGACCTCTGAACGCTACAAAAGGACCTAAGTGGCATGAGTTAAAATTGCTATAAGAAAATGAGGCATCAATTTTATATTCTTGCAAAATGAATTCGTTTGTTACTTTTAAATTACGCCAAAGCTCTCCCACCCTGTAAATTATCTTACTTTGCCAAGATATTAGTCGTGTTAAATACTAAATAATAAAACACAGCTAGTTTAAGAGAAAGCATTTGGGTATTTTACACCTCGCTACACTAATCCTTTGGTTGAAGTCATTTTCAATGCAGCGCCCATAAAACATCGTTTAAATCACCATTACATATCCTCAAACGGTTATTTTGGACTACAAAATCCTTCATAAAAATTGCTGTTGATCAAAGGCCTAATTTTTGTACCGTAGACAATTTGTCATTAGTGAATAAATTTCACAATTAAATTGGAAAGGTGACTACGTGACATGTAAATTGCCTGTCACACTTCCGAATCGATGAACCCGTAAATGTTTATAAATGATAGCAAGTTTAGATAGCTCATATATTCCTTCACCGGATAAAACGAGAATTTATGCTGCCTTGATTTTGCTTTATTGATCCTGTGCGGCGTCTTAAACTTTAAGATCCTCTCCTTGAATTCGTTTGACACATTTTTGCTCTTAAAATGAGACAATTTTCCAGCACAAGAGTAATTTCTGTTAATTCTAATTTGTTTCATTCCCTTTTTTACTTTTTGTTACAAAATTTGCTTTGTTTAGGCGTCTTTGTCTTATCACTGCAAATTCTTCTGGATACCCTAGGACTGCAATCTCGACGTCATCAGTAGGAAATACATTTTCCTGTGTTTGGAAAACGTCTTCCTGAAACAGTAAGTCTATTTTTCAGAATTCGAGCAAGTTCCTGCGCGACAAATAAAAGCGCCATCTGTAGTTGTTCAGCCCATAATGGGCAAATGATAATGGATTCACAACACTTTTTATAAACAAACATTAAATTTCCTACTTCCAGCCTAAACTATTTCCCATTTGCCGCCTGAATTTGAGCTTTCTGTGTTTCATATGCGTTCATTAAGGCTATGAAATTTAATCAACCCTCTTCCTGAGATTTGCTTCACCCCACAAGGAATTCAAAACGCTTTAGTTTCCTAACTGCACAATCAAATTAAACGTTAATTTATAAAAGAAAATGGAGGGAACAAATGGACATTTCCAATCAAGCGGCATATTTATCCGCATAAATGAATGCAAAAAAGTCGACCACGCTTGCCTTGACGTCTTTTGTGCTTTGATGCAAATTGTGGTGTCAACGAGGAGCGAGAGGGAAAGAGGACACAATAAATTACCTCATTATTTTACTCAAATCCAGTGCGATGCTATCGTACTGGATTTGCCCTCACAAAAATTTATTTTAATTACAATCATTGATAGCGTTAGTTTGATACCGCATCTATTTGATGCTTGAAAAAACCTCGATGTAACTGAGTTAAGAAAGAGGTGGGAAGACACTATTCAACAATTTTACTCTCCATGTAAATGCTTGATTTAACTTTTGTATTAAATAATCTTTATAAGAGTGGGGCAATGTAAGTGTCTTCTTCTGCTTATTACGGACTGGGATGCCATCCCTTCATTGATGGCAATAATCAAAGTTTACTGCAATTGTTTGGCCGTTGTTCGTATTATATAATCATTATATGCAAAGTCAGTTCAGCTGCACCCTGTTCTTTGAGAAATCATTAAATTTTCTACAAACAGCAGTGAAATTTGATTGCATACTATTATGCAAATTTTGTGTGAGTTGAAGAAGTGGCCAAAATTATCCAAATAAAACATTTTTAGTCTGTCTTAACCCGCATTTTGTAAACCTTGAAACGACCATCTTTGTTAAATATGTTTGCTTGCGTAAAATATAATCGTCTTAGTGGGCTTTAAAATTTAATTTCCAAAATTTTTTTTGGTTTAGGGTTTTGCTTTACACATCACGCTTGGAAGTGTGTGAAACGAAATGATGTGGGCTACCTGACAGCACACACTTAATAATGTAAGTCAAATTTCCGTGCGTGAGAAGCATAAGCGATCTGCAGATGTGGCAAGACGTTTTAGACTTTGATAGGTATAATGATTGAAATGCCATTGACCCGTGCTGTGCTTGCAAATCAATGCATCACTTTTCAGTAAAAAGTACCTAATTGACCACTAGGTTACTAAAGTAGAATCTAATATTTAACGATGGGCAACCACAATTGTTCTTAAATCCCTGTTTGTATAGTAGAATCAAATGCAAACACTTTTCAATGGCTCTCTTAAGTATCTACACTGCGCCATCACTGTAAGTCGATATCAGAGCATTGGTTTTAAAATATACACCGTCTAAGGAAAATGTTTTCTGCGATCGCATTTAATAATGCACTGATTAATTTGTAGAAACAATTTAAAAGGTAATTGATTGAACCTGCGAAAACACGCTTAGTTTTATACATTACAATTTTTGCATAGGACAGTCATTTACAAAACATATTCCTCGTAACCAGAAAAGAAAAGTTTTAAATGCATGGAAATTTTGAAACTCCTCTAATTACCCTGGATTTTGATAATTTTTGATCAAGTGACCTTCTTAAGATATCCTTCAATGTTCTTCCGGGCACCAGTTAGTTAAACGTGCAACCCTCTCGTATCTAAATTGACTCTGAAATCTACGTGCGCAGAGAGGCCTGACAACACTTCGAATCAAACACCTGCGGGCAATGAAATAGGGATTCTGTTAGGAAGATGAAGAAGCCTTGTTACTGCTATGTTATTTTTGTCTGTCACTTTCGTGCGGTTGTTCAAACAATCACAAATCCCCTGAAGTTGACTTATCGGTGGAAAAGGTGGTCAAGTGAAGGCTACTTATCAGCAGCTGATATAGTGTCCTCCAATCTTGTAGGCAAAATGTTTATTAAAAAATAGGCTTTGGCAAGTTTTTTCGCAAAATTTTGCAAGAGTTACAGTTAAGCGTAAGAAAATAAATAGTAAATGTGCAGGGTGATTTGGCTATTGCAACACACTAGCTGCTCTTGCATGCAACAATATTGCAGTGCTCCCTTTGCGAGTGATCATCGTTTCCTTAAACTTCCCTATTTATTAAAAAAGGCAAGGCAAATATGATGTTAGCAACACCCACTGCAATGATTCCAGCTATTTTATCGCCTGTTTTATCACAAGGAAGGAATAGCAGTAGCCATTAATACAAATACTGTTGCTGGACTTGCTCTCCTCCAGAAATCTGAGTATGCGAATTGGAATTTTTTGGCATCGACCCGGTAAACACTTGTCCAAAATTCCAGTTTGTAGCCTAGACTATCATTGCGCTAAATAAGGAGGATTATTATTTTTTTTACAAAATAATAGCAACTGAATGCTAATCATATTGTCTATCCATTTTCACCCCTCTACTACTTTTGCAAAGCATGTTTCAACGAGTTCTTTTGGTTTGAAACATCGGTTTCTCTACGAAAACAAACTGGTAGATCATTACAAATATATTAGAGTTAGTGTAAAAGGGGACATTTTAGGGTACAACTGTCAATGGACTGTAACACTTGAATAGGGCTATCCCTTATCCACCTCATTCACTGACAAACACTTCCTACACACCGTTCGTCCTCACAATTAAAAGTACCGGATGCTTGGGTTGTGAAGTTGTTCCCTATAGTATGAAGTAATTAGCTCATATGCATTCGAAAGCTATAGTATTCTTAATGTCCTCGAACACATGACTTTGAGTTTTGGCATCTGTTTGACCTCATTTTAATTGGATCTTTCAAACCACAGTGGTAGAGAACTCAAAAGGCACCTACTTGTAGGTTTATAATTAAATTAAATAAGGCTGCAACATCTACTCTTTTAATGATACATTTACTATGACTCTGCCTTTTCGTAAACTGTCTCCTTTTTAAGATTAAAGATCTAGGAGAGCTCACTTTAAGATTTTCTTCGCCACTACAGGCGATACTTGCCCAGTGTGCCTGCCCTGCCTGTTTCGTTGGCCTGGTCGTTATAACAACTGATGGAGCAGCTTGTGCTAATATCGGGATGAGCTGCGATATCCCATAAAAGAACTTCATTTCTCAACAAATTTCGCAACTTTTCCTCTTAACTATCTTAATTCGTTTAATTCCGTGTTACCTGAAATTTTATTTGTTTTGATGTGTAACCCCCTAGGACTCTTTACCTTGACATTGCCTTATAGTAGTAGCTCCGAATTGGTGTAATCAGAAATGGTTAGAATGTATTGTCATGGAAGCAAAATGTGGAATGAGGCCGCAGAGACTAGACGTAGCACGGAGATTATGCAAAACGCCTATCACTCTTTTGTACGGCCTCTCCTTTGTTACCAACATTCTCGTCCCTTTTGATAACCACTATACCTTGTCAGCTCTTGCAACACTTTCAGTACCTCACAAACCACTCATGAGTTGGAAAAGGCAATGCAATGTACTTCCACCACGAAAGCTTTTTTCTTACGGCCGATGCACATCTCGATCACAACAGCAAAGTTAAAAACAAATCTTTAAAAACAGTATTTTGGCTTTTGACCGCTCAGGGTTTATCAATGCACGGCATTTACCGCATTTCATATTCCAGTCTGCTTGTAGTAAAGGTGTGCTTAAAGGCAGAGCCGCCTTTTGCATCGCTATCTTATTAGCATCTTGGAAAGTGAGGGCACATATTTATTCACCTAATCCATCCATGTGCTTGTGCAAACTTTTGCACTTATTTTCACAAAACTTTTCAAAATTCTCAAAGTTCAGCGCCTTTAACGTCAGCCAAAAAAGCGGAATGACTGACAATCCTCTCCTCGTGAGTCTTTAAATGATATCCAGGCTGAGAAATAGAGAGTTTCATTATTTGAAGAAATTTGGCAACCACTATCATTAATGTAGCTTTTTCAAGCCGCCACAATATACAGAGCTCTATATGAAATTTTATTAAAAATGCTTGGAAGATCTAATGGAGCACTGGCAGAAATGGGAAGGACTGAATATTAAGACGATGACCAAAACCACAAAGAATGGGACATCTGACTTCCCCATGTGCAATCGTAAAAAGAAGACTTTCTAGATGTTAATTAATTTGATTGAAATTCGAATAAGGTAATGGCTGTAAAACTGGCAAATTTGTTAAAACTAGTCTCTCTTATAGCTTATAAAATTGAACCAAGACAAGATGGTAATGGGACTTAGATCATTAATTCCACTTACTTAAAACCGTTCCGTACATATTAGCCTGTGTAGTTCCTGCTAATTTCTGTGTAAAGCCTAGAGTCAAGTCCCTATAAGTGCATCATAAAACATCTTTGCTTCTGTCTCGGAGGCTGGAATAGTTTTGAGATCATCTCTGTACCTTGTTATTTAAAATGGATTGCCATTTTTATTCACCTCTATTTATACTGAATGCACCATTCACGACTTTTTAGTGCATAATTTGTCTGCACTTGAACCAAGATTTTAAAGTTACTTTAATTCATAGCATAGGTACTTATACCCAAAATAAAGATTTTAAATGGGTACGCCATTGATATAAATTACATGACTACTTTCTTAGCTGCCATTAGACCCTTCATTTCAAATTATGATAGAAGTTGTTGGTCTATACTGAAAGCAACCTCACAACTCATCTAGCTGCTTATCTCAAAGGCACTAAGCTTATCCAATACCTAAATGCTTTGAAATTCACTTTATTTCCCGAAAGAGCACCTTGGCTCTCATTTTTGATTCCACTTGTAAGCTGTACTCAATGGTTGAGAAATAGAGATAAAAGTCAGAAAAATAAAATAATATGTAGCGCAGAATAATTTTTTAATGCAGAAAAGGGTTAGAGTTGAGCTTCTGACATGGTTTGGTGGCCGTGCAGCCCAGCTAAAGTAAAATAGTGGATGCCTTCAAGCATCCTGAAAACAAAAACGAAGAGGGAAGTTATGAATCTGGGCAATGGAATAATTTTCGTAAATTTTCCATAGTGAAATATGTTCATGTTAAAACTCTACATAAACGGAATTTTCAATCTAATGCGGGCTTGACTGAGTTCAGGATAAAGTCGGAAGTACGCTTTATTCCCAAGACTGGGCATGAAAGTTGGCGGTCAGTAAGGTTATCCATTTATAGCGAATGAACTTGAAAAAGGTGACATCTAAAGCTGTTATAGGCATAGTTTCAGAACATATCAGGCTCATAACTGACAGGAATCGAAAAAATTTGCTTAATACACTTGATACAATCATCAAAGAAACCAAGTAACAACATATCTGAATGGCATTTTAACAGATTCTTTGTCAATGATACCTCATTCACTACTCCATCCAACTCTACTCCGCATTGCCTCGACGCCGATTAATTCCTTCAAGTCCCTGCTTTTTGTTTGTGCAGGTTGTAAATAGCAGGCATAACTGTACACATGTCAGTTTTTCTAAAGACCAAAAAATACAACCGAGATATGCCTTTTTGAAAGCATATAACTTGGGTGTGGGCATGAAGACAATGCCTTGAGAACCAGTCACGAATGGTGAATTTGTGAGGAGAAGACCACTGCCTTATGAGAATCCGAAAGACCTAGTAAGCAAGACCTTAACCCATAAACGTAGAACTGATACGTAAGAGGATTGACACAATGGGAGGGAGGAGATGTGGGGGGAAGAAAAATGCTGCAGCGTTCCTCCGATTGACGACTATTGCGTGTGCCGTTTACCAACAGAATTCAAAAAGGACTAGACAGTTGAAAAATGGGAGCAAAATTGAATGGAGACAGAGATAGATAAACCTTTTTTTAGTGTTTGGATGTAAAAGAGTGTTCTAAATTGGTCTTCCTGTATTTGTATCTTGTTGCCAATGGTCCGCATGATATACAATGTAAGTGATTATTTCAATGAACAAACTTCCATGTGAAGATTTTGTTAATTGCAAAAGGTGTTTCCACTTTAGGACAATTTTTAAAGATCACCGCAGAAACGTCAGCTATGCCAACATTATTTACATTATCATAATGTAAACTTGATTAAGCCTTTAAGAAGTAAACGGAATCACATTTAAGTCGAACTAGCCTTTTCTCTTTTTATTATGCTTAAAAAGGACTTCTGTTTGTGATTACTTTTAGGTTTGTTGATTCCTTTCAAATAAATTATTTAATCAATGTTATCGAAAACCTTGCTCCGGTTATTCATTACATAGCCGCTGTTCTCTTTGAGCTTTATCTCCATCACTCCTCATGGACATCCTCCCTTATCGGCCTTTACAAAAAAGTAGGGACGATAAGAAAAGTGTCCATGAATTAACCGAGTAAGTACAGTATTTGCGTGCAACGGAGATATTTGTCCGCCCCATCAATGATTCCTCTTGGCGACTTCGCTAGGTCTAGTGTATTATTCTGTTGTGGAACTGTTGTGGACGAAAGAAGAATAAATATGCCATCTCACGTTCCTCGCTTGTCATAGGAACGCTGAAATAAAGCGAAGGATCAAGAAGTTCTGTGTGTCAATGTTTCTCTACCATTTCTACCAGTCACTGTGTTTTCAACTCAGCGCTGTCCTGCCATATTTTCTAGGTTATATCCAGCTAGAGGGGTGTAGGAGGAGGTATTGTCCGTTTACTGTATTGAAATTCTCATGCACAGTTCCGTAATGAACTTTTTGAAATGGTGTACGGACACAACAAGCACCGCTTTAGATGTTAAGACATGCCCCTCTTCCATCACGTTATGGTTCAACATGCCGTAACAGAAATCCTGGTAGTTATCTTTTAGGATGAGATGCTCTCCACTACCACTGGTTTAGCGTTCCGAGGCTTTTTTGAAGTCAGAAAAACTCACTAGAGCACAACTGAAAACATTTTACTGTTATAGTGCAGGCCTGAGGATGGTAAAGGTGCAACGCTTAAGCTCTAAGTACTTGCTTACTTCTGTAAGATGTGCTCAAATTCGACTTGCATGCCGACGATGTCGTTTAAGATTTTACCTTTATTCCTATCTAAAACACCTCATTTTTCGTCAACTTTCTAGGACTTTTGCTTTGGCACTATGAGTTTTCCTGTGAATATTATCGGAATGCTTCATCAATTACCTTAGACCACATTGCATGGCCGTCCTTAATATCATCACAAGGGCGATGAGGCAGAAGGTGCTTATTGACTAAAACCGCACTTTGCTTTCTGAGTCATAGCCTGATTAGTGCCATTTCTGACTTTTGACTAAAATAGAGACGTTAGGATTTGGTTTAAAGGCGCCTTTTGCAAACTTTACACTGATTTACGCTTGTTTTTAAGTAACTGAGTCGATATTTTTTGTGCAGATGTTATGTGTATCCATCCGGGGTTGTAGTTTGGATTTACGGGAACTCTTGTGTAAAAAGAAGCGCATTTTATTGTTGAGATAGTGTAGCAATTATTGAGAGGAAATCAGAGCGCATCTTTAAAAAACTTTTAATGTTGATGAAACCTTTGGTTCTTTTTTGCACTTAAGTGTGCTTTTGAGGCAAACAACCCTAATCAAATAACCTATTCCTACATGTACTCATTGCTTGATATTATGTTATTTTCTCACAGATTCAATTTTGCATCCTCAATTCAAAGTCTATTAATTTACTCTACAGGCTTCTGAACTAGTACACTATTTGTGTACCAAGGCAGAAAATATATTGCTGACGCAGAGAGGAACTGGATGCCTCTGTCTTGGCGCGGAAGTCTTCTCTCTTGGCAAAGATACAAAGGCGGAGCCTCATGTATCGTATAGCAAACAGGAAGGGTTAAACCAACAAGCAAATCACTAAAGCTTCGTCTATTCTTTTTTAATATTTCCTATCAGGTTAATTTTCTCTACCTTCTGAAAAAGCACGATGTTGCATGAAGTTATTACCCTAAACTCTATGCTAAAGAGTCTTCTTATTTAGTGATATTGTTCAAATACTACCATTTTACTGCCAGATTTTTCCGCCTAATGAAGTTAGGGTGATTGTATGCAGAGGCACTTGACACTGCCACTTTTATAATGGTGGACAAATTGGCTTGATTCATTCGCCTATGGTGTGGATACTACAGAAGCAATCAAATTTATACTGGAAGCCAAATTAATGCTTGATGCTTTGCGGAGAGAACTAGCCTTGACGTTCTTACTCTCATTGAGATATACTCTTCTCGTGAAACCAAAAAGTATTAATTTAAACCATTTTAGCAGTTACCCGTACGCCATCCAGTTTCTTCCAGCTGTTTTTGGTCCACCAATTTTTCATATTAGAAGGCCATTTACTAACCCACCGAGATGTCCCCGACTTCAACATTTAAATAATAAATTACAGAGAAGAAAATAAAGTGATTTTTAAGGCTAAAGCTAATTTCTATGATGACGTTAGGTCCATTTATGGGGGTTATTCCAAAAATAATTTATTTCTTTGCAGATTTACGCAAAAGTCACAGATGTTATGAATACCTTGTATTTGCTCCTGTAACGAACATAGCGAGATTACTCATTCAGCCATTGGCCTTTGCTTCTAGGTAGTTGCACTTGAATAACCTTATTCAGTTACAAATTTGAAAGTTACTTTTTTTGGGGTTTGTCTCCGCATGCGCTATGTGATAGGAATTTAGTGACTTCTACCATCGTCTTTTGAAATGAATGAAATGCCAGGACTTCTTTATATGCAGGACAGAATTGATGCAGTCAAGTTAGGGACTGAAAAATCATCATTCTCTTTTACTTGGTAACACAATAGAAGTTTTTGTTTAAATCTAAGATGTTAGGAATATTAAGCCCATATTATAAGTGAAGTCTTATTCTCTCATCCAGATTTCTACAGCATTATGACGGGCAAAACAAGAACGGTAACGAGATTGCCTTTTTACTGTATGTAACTTGTTATATGGGGTCTTTTGAACTTTTTAAAAAAAGCCATCTTGTTTCTAATAGCACAAAAATTACGCCCTTTAAATGGGCAGGAGATACTACCTTTTTTGCTCTACTTTGGTGTAATTTGTATTTTGCAAAACACATGCCACTAACCCTTTAGGGATAAAGTGCTTCTATTGTAAGCCACAAATTCTCATGCCTAAATTAATGAGTGCTAGGATTTTTCATTGACTATGAGACATATTCAGAGGGAAAACTCCGATCGCTCACAGTAGTTTACGGAATGCATCTGACATTCACGAGGTACTCAAATAGGTCATACTTATTGAATTTAGTCATCAGTTATTAATTTGATCCCACATGATTTTAATCACAAAGTGTAAAAATTCTTAATCAAAATATGCTCATGTTTCTTGATTTTCCATAGAAAAACTTAAGCCACTTGGGCTACACCTTTAAATCTGATAAGGTGACTTTTCTAAACAACTGCCATCAACTTTCAGCTCGGGTTATTTCTACTTCAGTAGAATAAAACAAGAGAACACTACTAACCCTTGGGCACAATAAGAAGTACATAAGAGCGTTTTTTAAACAAACTTTTGCAGCAATTGTGCTAATTTTGTTTCTAATAGCAAGGCACTTAAAAATAGTCATTTGACTACCACAACTAGCATTACACTTTATAGATACCAAATTTAGAGTGACAAACAAGCAGGGAAGAGTAACCTATATTTAAAGTAGAGAAAGAGGAAGGCAAAAAATGGTTCTTTTGTAAAATTTATATTACGGCTTCGTAAGGGCCCTGGACGCTGCCGTAGGACCTGCGGAAAGTAAGAACAGATTTTGGTAAGAAAATGGCCCAGCCGTTTTAGTTTCTTGTAAAATTAAAAGTGCTAGAATGAATGTCAATTCTTTGCTAACTATTCTAGTCCTTTCGTTTGAAACCATTGCAAATGTAGCGTTTGTTAATTAGTAGTAAATAACCATAACGTATCCTTAGGTAATTATTTTTGAGCATAAAATCCTTTTCATGTATGGCAACTGATAGTATGGTAGAATTATATTACCGAAGACAGTGCCATTTGTAAGTGAATTTTATGTTTAAATGGAAAAAATGGCAGTCACACATGTAAACCGCTTATCAAACAGCCGAATTAACTGACCCCTAGCATTTAAAAATTTCAACAATGTTGGGCATTTACTTCACCGTTCACTAGTAGAAATAAAAAATAGATGAGATTTTAACAGTGCATCCTTGATCTAAAAAATTATAAAGTCTTTATATCCTCGCCGTGATATGGGTGACATTATTACAGTCCATAAAATTTCGTAATTTCACACAGTAGTGATTCCTATTAAACAGAATTTATAAACCAATTTCTCTCTTGCTTTCTGCTTCAAAGTTTGCTTTATTTGTGCATCTTTACCAATTATTTTGGAGTTTTATCCAGATTCCTTAGTGAGAACACATAAAGCATTTCTTCGTAAGATATGTCCTTCCCTCAACCCTGTTTAATTTCCAAAATAAAAATAATTTTTTAATTAACAGAAGCAGCAGTCACACTTATTTGGTCGATTCTGGGTTGATGATAATGCATTGGCAACTCTTTTAATAAAAGCACACTTTCACTCTCGTTTCGTTAAGAACCATCCCTTATTTACCCTTTGAAATGTCATTTTCTGCTTCCTTAATTCCTTAATTAAGGCTGCAAAATTCAATCAGGCCTAATGCTGACGCCATCAATTCCTATATAGTTTGTTGCCACCGCATAAGGAAATCAGAACACATTATATTTTAATCAGCACAATTGTACCAGACGTCAATTTGTGAGAGAAAATGGTCATCCACATACATATGAAAGCAGAAAGCAGACTATTCTTGGAAGGCGGTTGGCTCCATTTCTCGCCTCTACATTTCGTAGACTGATGCGAAGTTTTTAGTCAATGAAGAGAGGGGAGAGAGAAGAAAAATCAAATCTCCATCATTTTAGTCACGTTCAGTGCGATACTATGGGTTCTGTCTTTGCGGTACTTTCCATTTATAATATTATTATTAAAAATGGTAACTCACTGCTACCTCAGTTTGATGTTTAAATAAAACTTCAGTGCAACTGATTGGCCTACTTTCCTCCCCCTCACTCCCACTGTGACGTCATCTGACCTTGAACTGGCCTGGAATTCGGCCAGGGAGACCCTTTATTACGTCACCTCACCCTTCCCTGGCCCACTGTGTCTTTTCTTGGCCTCACCTCTGTCCCATAGCCGCTATACTACGTTTTCTAGCGTCTGATTTGCCTCACTTTGCTTAGGGCCTCTGTTTTTGTAAACTGTTTTAGAATTTGCCTGGACCTTTCTCAGGTATGCGTACACGTTTATTTGTATCCTCTGCCCCCTTCTTTCCTTTTTACGATCTATTTGGAGGTGTATTCGTCGCTGTGCGTCCTTCATTCCTAGAAGTTCATGTTGTTTTGTTTAATAACGTTTTAATTTACTCTATAAAATTAAGATTTTTCTTACTTTTTATAACTAGACAGCTATAATATTGAGCCTTTTGATTTATTTAAAACAACGCTTTTATATGCATTTTTTATTTTATTGCATTTACTAATATGACAGTAAATCTTATTTGTTTTTTTTCTAATTGCATGAAAAATGTCGTAACTGTCGTTCAAATTTAAAAAAGTTTTTTATTTAGTATTTTATTGTGATATAATTTTGTATGAAAAAACTTTTGATCCTTCTGCATTTTAAGCTCTTCTTTGGCTTTAGAAAATGTTTTTATTTATCGTCTTCACTTGTTGCTATCACTTTTTGTTTTACTTTGACCTAATTTTTTTGCCTTCATAACTTTATTTTTAAGTTATATGTAATACGATAGTGGTTTATCCCTCGGTTCTGGTGAGGCGCCACTTTTGTACTTGGAATTAGCCCCCTTGTACCTCGCTGGGTGGGCTGGCCTTTTGGGCCATGCCAATAGCCCAGACACCTTCTCCATGCTGAATATATATATTCTGCCCGAGTATTGTGCCTTCTTTTGTCTTAAAGGAGTCGCGGGACGCTACATATATGTGTTCCTTTTTTTCCCTCAATTTTAATACATGCTTTATCGTTTCCTTATATTGTCAGCCTCAAGCTTATTGGTTGTTGTTTATGTACATTGTCCGTCGGTGCTGCAATTTTTTGTTCATCGTACTAGTATGACGGTCTCAGTTAGACAGAGATGAAATGTAAATTTAAAGCGAAAATTTGTTTAACTTTTGTTTTTACTTTATTTTACCGTCATTTGAAGTCTAAAGCGGATGGGACTATATCTGTTTCTGATGTTACATCTGGTGTACTTCGAGAGATGTTTGAAGGACAATAAGCTGGAAATTGGGACTTGATGTTACTCCGTACCTCTGCCAGGTAGCAATTTGCTTCATTTATTGTGTTAGTCTATTGTTTTGTGAGTCCTATTTGTCATGGTTTGCGTGTTTTAGGAGAGGCGGCCCTATTGCCTTTCTTCCCAATATCTTTTCACAATTGCATGGTAACATTGACTTTATTCCAATTGTTATAGTATCCTTTTTTATATAATGTATCAAATAAAGCTGCAGCACCTAGGGCGAGCGTACTTGGGTGCTGACGTCGCAAGGTATCGTATTAGCTGTTCTTCAACTGCACCCACCTGTCATCACATCGGCACAGATGTGGCGAGGGTTGTGGTTCCCTCGTTATGGCAAAGCTGTCTCATCGTTGTCACTGCGACGACGATCATGGCGCGTCGTCCGGTAAGCGTAACCATAGCCTCGACTACCACTGCTACCGTGGTCTGGACCACTGCGAAGGAAAGAAAGAAAGAAGGAAGGAGAGAAGGAAAGGACGATCATCATCGCGTCCAAACATAGTAGGCCAAGGTGATGAGAGCTGAAGGGTGGCGGGCTGTGAGGGCAGCAGTAGAGTCAGTGCGTTTAGTAATCCGGTTGATGCAATTCAGCGCTGTTGTTGCTATTTGTCATCACCTAGCTTCGTGCTCAGTCTGACGGCAGTGGAGGCGTATTGTGCATTGCCACCACAACCAACTGATATGTGGTGAAAATGCACTCACAAATGCCTCACCGTTGTGCCTCCTCTTCCTCCCCCAGATATTATTTCCCGTCTGCTTTTTTGGCTAATTTAGGCGGTCATGAAATGAAGCAAGCAATGCTGCTTGCTGCTGCAGGCGTTGGATGGTGGGTGCAGCATTACGGTGTCAGAAGAGGGTGGGGGGCGGGGAGCATTGCTTGTTTGCCAACATAAAAGCCTCCCTTTCTCTCTCTCTGTCCGTTTCCACCACCTCCTTCCACTTGCCAGTATCGGTATTTTAGGTACCAGAGTGTAGAAGTCAATCGCTTTGGCCCATGCGGGACAGGACTTCTAACTCATCGTTGTCTATGTGGTGGCATGTGTGCCTGTCCACCAGCTCATGCGATTGCTACCTTGCGTGGATTTGCTGTGCAGTATGTTGTTAGTGAAGTAATTAGCCTGCCCGATCTCCCTTTTCTTGGGCTAGTCTACTTTCACTTTCACACGGTCTCGTCTAATGCTTGCTTCACTCCTCCATCTACTACTTTGAAACCACGCACTTGCGGTGCAAGTTGATGTAAGCGACTCTTTTCTCCAGTTCACTTAACTAGATTTACTATTTCTGGTGTGCAGTCTAGACTTAGTTTATTCAGATAGGTTCGCAAAGAAAGATGAAGCTATGGGCTTGACCTCGCTCACCATTTAGTCATAGTGGTGGGGAGTGGATCTGATGGCTAATAGCTGATTGACATTTCTCTCTCTCTCACGCTTTACCCCCCGCCTCTCCCTGTCCCTCAATTTAGTCGTAGTGTTTACCTCACTTGGCGGTGTTATTAGTGTGCATTTCCCTTTTTGAAGTCTGTCTTTATTTTAGCGGGAGAAAATAAATAATTAACAAGACGCATAGCCGTGCGCAAAGCCGCAGAGAGTTCCCCCTCTCCCTCTCTCCCCCCACCCTCCCACTCCCTTTAGTCGCAGTGTCTACGCCAATTCACGTTGTCGTACGTTTTTACCGTCCAGCTGCGGCGGCGGCGACGGCTGATAGTTGATTGGCCATGACCATAAACATTACGCAGACGAGAGTGATTTCAAAGTGCGAAAGCAACAGGCAAGACTAACTCCAAAAGTCATATTACTAAGTTTTGCTCCCTTCTGGTTACTGTTGATTTGCTTATAGAGTTTTGCACAAGAAGCACAACCACATCACCCACCAAGTGAGGCAAAAAATCCTTGAAGGGATTACCCTCATCCTTTGCTGCATTGGTGGCCAAACCGAAAGCGAGTGGAAAGAAGAGAACACCTGGAGATCAAAGGGGAGGTAATTGTAGCTTGATTCAATGGAGGAAGCACAATTCGTTCTTCTGGACGGCCATCAAAATTACTGAGTTGTGCAAAACAAATGCATAAATAAAATCATCATCGACCTAGCAACAGTGAAGGCAAACCTACCGACCATGTCGGTGTCGAAGACAGAAATACCGCAGTGTAGGTTTAATTTTTGCTGCTCACTTGGATGATCGAAATCAGTGATGACCTGTAGGAAATGCCGGTCATATCAATAGGCCTGCAAATGGTTACGCATCGCAGTTAGGAATAATGCAACAACGGAGGTGAAGCGTCTAAGGCCTAGGGGTAAGGCGTCAAGATTAGTTGATTGCCCGAGGGAGGGTTGGGTTAGCAAGGATGTGCAGGAAGGAGCTCCTACAGTCCGAGAGCACGTGAGCGAAGTTTAACGA